TGTGTGTGTGTGTGTGTAGTATTATATGTATATATATATATATATATATATATATATGTGTGTGTGTGTGTGTGTGTGTGTATGTGTGTGTGATCCTCGTGTTATAGTGAGTCATGTGGGATGACTCAGGTGCATGTGGATTTAGATTTTAGGATGAATTACCAGTGCTATGTGTCGTGTGATATTGGTTTTACAAGTGTGAAGTCTGTTAAATACGCACCAATAGAACAAGAGCTTAAAAGTACATAAAAGTAGTGTAAGATTTATAGATGACGAGTGTCGGACTCCTGAGGAATCTGGGCACTCGAAGGATTTTTGTGCCCGTACCCTAAAGGGACTGGCGATAGACAATATAGGTCATGTCTATATAATACAAGGTTGTGGGTTGATCAGTCCTCATAATCTTGTAAGCTATTACACTACTTTGATGATATGGAGTGCAAAACTATTACATTCTAAGCCGTTCGTGAACTAAATTTGTTACTCACAATCTAAATATTTAGTTAGAAAAATTAAACTAATAGACCTATCAGCAACAATGGAGTTTAAGTCATTCAACGGAAATCGTTGGGAGAGCTTCACTCAGCACCGTATGGAGACGGTGGCGAAGCTGAAAGAATTGAGAACCTATGCTAATGTTAAAAGGATAGATGAGGAGAAGATGCTGGCACATGCGATGTGCTTATTGGAGAACTCGTACTCTCCGCAGATTCTGACTAATGCGATGATTGCATGGGCTCCGGAGCTGATGGAAGTGGGACTTTTGGAGTTGTACGTCTTGTCGAGAGTGGCATTGATTATGGAGCCGGTGTACAGGGATTCAGTAGCGCAGCAGAAGACTAGGGCGGAGCACATCACGTTGGAGGAGAAAAAAGATGCGCCATTTAAGGTGATCAGGGAGTTTAGAGAGAATACCTTCATGAGCTTGGTTGGATGGCACCTATTTGAGTTAATTGGCAACCGTGCTCCGGAAGAAAATGCAACGACAGCTTTGGACCCGTTTTACTTGAGCAGTTACAACAACAGCCGGGCAACGACAGCTGCAGTAGCAGCGGCAGCTGGAGGAGTGACCGCAAATCCGCAAAGGGTGTTAGGCCAAAAGTTGTTTGACGCGTTGGTAGAATATGTGGTGGCTCAGAGGGATACTGCTCATGGTTCAAGTAATTACAACCGTTATGAGGGTATCCGGGTACAGCTCTTGATGATGAGTAAGCAAAATGATGACGCAGGAATTAAGGCGGACTATATGGTCCAAGTGGCAAAGTTTGGTACAATAGGCCGGTTTGCCATAGGGCTGTTGCATGAATTTCCGGATTTGATGAAAATCGTCCGAATTTCTCTGTACGAATTGCATGCAGCTATGCCTGTGTTTTTACAACGCTTTTTGGGGACAGCACCTGAGATTGCTGCAACGCGAAGGATGCAGTATCGCCAGGGAGGTCTGAGCTTTGTGGTAGGGCACTTTAATGTGCAAGAAAAGGTTGCGGCAGCAAGGAAGCATGCAACAAGGGCGGCACCGCCGAGGTTGGTGAGAGCCAATGGCCCTGGTCACCAGAATGGAGGTGTTAGGGATAGAATGGGAGCGCAGGTGGATGGAGCATCTACTGCCATCTAGCGCAGCTTTGAGGATGTGGTGGCCACTATTACAGAGAAAATTGATGAGAGGTTTGAACAGTTGTCCAAGAAGATCAGCAGCAAGGCGCCGCGTAGGCGTTGAGGAGGTGGTAAACCACCAGGATTTGTAGGTGAATGAGAGGAGCGACGTGTATGCTTTAACTATAACACTAAAGGGCAGGTCAAGGTTGATGGTACTAAAGCCTAAACTTCCAGAGACCAAGAAGTGACTTGAGGAGTCGTCTTCTGGAGATGGAGTGGTAGACGCTGTAGGGGCAGCGGTACTGGATAAAGATACAGCTAAAAGAGGCAGTGTCATTGCAGGTGAAATAGGAGGGATTTCTATAACGGTGTATGCGGATTCGGGTGCGACGCCCCAGCTAAATACAAAGGAGTTGGTAGACAGGGCTGGTCTGGATATGACTCGATACATGGGTCTACCGTTTGAAGTTGTTGCTGAAATGGGAATTGTTGCGCCCTTAGGGATGGTTAAGGCGTCAGTGCAGATGAAGAGTTGGCACGAGCGATTCCTGCAGTCTGTGCTGAGGATGTTGGTACTGGGTTCGCTACCAATGAAGACGGATGTATTAGTAGCTCATGACACTATGGTTAAAGATGGCTTAAACTTGGTGTTGACTAGCAGTCAGTGTTTAGCGCTAGTGCAGAATGGAGACCGAATGGACTTTTTGCTACATGAGGCAATGAGGCCTAAGTTGGTAACGACAACAGAGTTGCCAAGGAAGCAGGCGTTGGTCAAGCCGGAGACAGTGCTGACACCAAGGCAGGGACGTCGTGTGAGGGCTTTAGTTCCAAAGCGTCGTCCGTGGAAAGATAAAGTGTCTAGGAATGGAATGCAGGCGAAGATGCGACGCCAGATGAACATCATACACTTAACGGGTGCGTTGACTAGAGTTCTGCAGAAGCAGTATGTGGCAGCAGCTACAGCACATTTTCAGGTAATGAAGGAACGTGTTGAACGAATGCGTAAGAAGGATGAGCTGGACCTGGTTGAGGAGCATATTCTCCCGAGGATTCCAGATGTGTTGGTACCGGTGGATTTACCGGTGGGCGATATAGACCCAGGTGGGACAAAATAAGGACTTTCAGTCGTTTGATGAAGGGCCTTTGAGTACGCTAGGCAAGGAGATTGGAGTTCCGCAGGCTGACATTGAAGCCATCGTGGTAGCTATAAAGTCTATTAAGTATGACAAGGAGGACCCGACGTTTGTGAACTTGTCGGATGTAGAACTGCGGGTGCGTGCTGATGCGGTGCCGCAGTATCATGTGTACAATCACAATGACATGGATGCTCAAGAGGTCCTGAAGGTTAAGATTGGTGATTGGAATCGGGGTGGTATCTCGGAAAGGTTGACCAAGTCGGAGGTGAAGAATATGTAATGGTATGCTATGCCGCATTTGGTATACAAGAAGCCTGGCTTTGTTCCGCTGACGGCTGATGACTGGCGGCTGAAGACTAACACGCAGTTTGAATGTGAGGCGTACACGGTACCGACGGAGTGGCAATTTTTGTCTTCGGTTAGGGGAGCAAATATCGTACTATTGTTGATCTTGGTTAGGTCTGCTGTCAGCAGAAGTTGAGTAAAGAGTCGCAGCAGTATACTATTTTTTGGACTCCGTGGGGACCACACAAGTTCATAGGGATGCCGTTTGGGGTTGATGCCGGCCTCGTGGATTATGCAGAAGCGCATGGAGCTGGTTTTTGATGAGGTGCCTAATCGTGAGGTATACATTGATGATATTGGTACAGGGCATGATGATGGTCGCGAGCATTGGGATGCTCTAGTGATACTTGTGACAGCGTGTCAGAAGTATAATGTGAAGTTGTCATTGGCCAAGGCAAGCTTTGCGTATCACAATCAAAACCGTTTTTGGCTTTGGTTCGGATGGTTGATGAGAATGGTGCGTCGATCTCAGAGGATCGGTTGGAGGCGATTCTGCGGATGCCTCGGCCGACGACGAAGTAACTGTTGAAATCGTGGTTTCATACCCTCACGTTTAGGCTCGAGTTTGTACCAGACTATGCGCGGATAATGGCGCCGCTATCTGACATGTTGAAAGACGATGTTGCTTTTGAGTGGGGGCCGCTTCAGCAGACAGTGTTTGATGCTGTGTTGAAGGGTGTGGCTGAATGTGCAGTCTTAATTGAGCCAGAGTCTTATGATAAGCTGGAGCTCTATTGTGATGCTTGTGATTCTGTTGGTGTGGCTGGGGGGTTGTTTGCTCGGCGCAATAGTGAACTGTGTCCGGTAGGATTCTGGACTTCCAAGTTCAGTGCGGCGCAGCTCAACTACCACATTACGTATAAAGAAGCCTTGGCTATTGTGTACGTGTTGCACAAGACTTGGAGGATTATTAGGCGGTCGGTACATGACTTGGTGGTCTATACTGATTATGAGCCGTTAGTGGCTATGATCCGCACGAGTTTGAGATTCGGTGCGAGGCAGGCGTATGGGTCGGTATGTTCAGGTCTTGCGGGACTTTAATTTGGTTTTGAAGCATATCCCGAGTGAAGATTATCCAGTGGCGCATGTGATGCCGGGTTCGGCTACCATATTGATCCAATTGTGGAAGCAGAGTCTCCGTTGATCAAGAAGCGTGTGAGTTTTGCAGATCCCTTGGTTACGGTACCTGACACGGAAGAGTATTCGTTGCCACTCAAGTATATTGAGAAAGCGTTGCAGCGGGTTGGTCCCCTTGATGCTAAGAGTTTGCGTTGCCGGGCAATAACTTGATGGTGCCTTATTACTCGCCAACTTTAGAAGGTGGGGTGTTTGCCTTGGACACTTGGTTTGGGAGGATTTGGTATATGAATGCTCCGTTCTCCCAAGTTGCATGCTGTGATTCAGAGGGTCAAGTCGGATAGGGCCATCGCGACGCTGGTAGCGCCGTATTATCCGGAGACTGCTTGGTTTAAGCAGACGATACCATTGTTGGCGGATACGCCGATTGTTATTCCGCCTACGCATGGTGTGTTCTTGAAGCATGGGCGTGAACCGATGCCGCCGCCGCCGTTTGTGACGTTGATTTGTCATCTTAGTCCTCGGTGTGAGAAGTTCACTTTGGCCGAGGGGTATTGGGCGGCGGTGGATGCGCATCGGCCTGTGACCAGTGCTTTGGTTGGCGTATTGACGACGCGACCGGATGAAGTCCTGTGTGGTACAGGATCAAGTAGCTCCGGCAGTGGCTGGTGTGGTTGAGAAGCCTGTCCGTTGTGGACGTGACCCTAGGCTAGGGGGGGTTTGCCATAAAGCCAGTTGGGTATGTGGTTGGTTCATGTACTTTCATGACGATCACTGTCATGCCTGGGGAGTTGGTGTTGGAGAGTCCGTGAGTCGGGCTGAGCGCGAGTTTGAGACGCATCAGGCACGTGCGGTTGCTGTCATGACTCGGGCGCACCGGTTGCGGGCATCTGCTGCTGAGGTGGAGGTGGCTGCTAGTGATGAGCCACCGGTTGAGGAGCCGACGTTGTTGTTGGCCAGGGCTCGGGAGCAGTTGGCAGCACCTGAGGTGGTTACTTCTCCTGGGTTGCCGGTCTTTGGGCTGCGCACAGAGAGAGAGCTTCTCGAAGATGTACGATGTGGGCTGTATGGTATTGAAGTGGGGGGTCCTGTTGTCATGCGTGTCTTACATTACACGCATGAGCTATTCTCTCATGTAACATAGGATCGCTTGATACATCTCGTGAAAGAGTTGTGGGGTTGCCTCCGACCGGTTCTGTTAGTAGGGTGCCCGCAAGTGGGCCTACTTCAACCGATGAAAAGACGGGGGCTCATGATCGGCGTGTCATGAGACCAACGCAAGCGGTGGCGAGTGGACCTAAGCTCCCTCTGACCTCGCTTCCGAATGGCTCTCCCGGGGCGACCTCCACAGGAGGCGCCTACGGTGTAGAAGCCCAGGATCTTCGTGCCTTGCTTTTAGCGAGGGCGGAAAAGCGCCGCATGACACGTGGGGAACAAGCTGAGAAGAACTCCGTCCCAGCGAAAGTCCTCCCGCAAGCCAAGGATGTGGAAGGGGTATTCCTTCCTCGTTTGCCAGATTTGGTTAATCGTATTGATCTCCCAAATCACGCCCTCGATGACTTGGATAAGCCTGAAATCGAGGACTGTGACCGGCGTTCGAACAAATGTTTAGAATTTGACCGTTCTGGACTACGCCAGCTGGCCAAGGAGGCGAACAAGTCCGACTCGGACCTGGTACATTTGGAAGCTTTGATTGAGGGCCGTGCTTATGACAAGCAGAAGCACAGGCTCATGAAGGTTGACCCAATCAAGCTCTACCCGGTAGAGGGTGAACCTCCTGCACGGGTCCGAAGTCAGGAGAACCTGCCACTTGACCACCCTGAAATGGTGGCTGTGAAGGGCAAGATCGATGACCTGGTCAAGCAGAGCATCATTGCCAAGCAGGAGAACGAGGAGATTCTCTGGTCCGCAAAGTCTTTAATGGTCCCCAATAACCCACGGGTTACTCCTCAGACCAAGGACGACTGGCTATATTGCACTAACTTTGCCAAGTGGAAAGCGAAGTTGAAGCAGGAGCCGTTCAACATCCCCACTGAGGGCGAGATGTTTGGACACGTCGCTGGAAAGCCCTGGGTTTCCGTTATTGATTGTGGAAATGGGTTCAACCACCTTCCACTGGAGAAGAAGAGCCAGGATATCTTGACATTTTGGACTCCGTGAGGCCGTTATAGGTACTTGGCTGTGCCGTTTGGCATCAGGGAGGCCTCGTCGCGCTTTCAAAAAACCCTGGATCGCCTGTTTGATGGGTTGCAGGGTATCAAATGGTATATTGATAATATCGTAATCTCCTCTGTGAATGCCTCGGAGCATTGGGATCACCTCGTCGCATTCTGTGACAAGTATGATATCCAGTTTGGTCTATCCAAGGTGCGGATTGGATACTATAAGCGTAATATATTTTTGAAATAAATAATATTATCTTTTTAAGCGCCCCGTGAAAATCCTAGGGCGCTGGTGTAACCTCAGGGCGTCACAATCTCCGTTGATCGCTTAGCGGCTCTGCTTGAGATTGACCGTACTGACAACCAGGACCGTGTGCGGTCTTAGTACCACACTGTGGCATTCTGGCAGCGTTATATTGACGGGTTCTCTAAGATCTTAAAACCCATATCAGCCTTACTCAAGGATGGCGTGAAATTAAGTGGGGTGCCGACCAGCAGGCTGCGTTTGATTTGATCAACGAGCGTCTGAAGACATGTGCAGTCCTCGCTACGCCGGAGCCGGGTGAACGGCTTTACCAATTCGCCGATGCTTGTGAGCATATTGGCCTTGGTGGTGCAATTTATGTGCTGAGAAATGGAGAGCTATGTCCTGTGGCATACTTTTCCTCCAAGTTCTCCCCGGCTCAGCTCAACTATCACGTGACTGATAAGGAATGGCTTGCGCAGGTTTACGGGATTCGGAAGCATTGGGCGATGTTCGGTAACTCTCATCACCCTATCACGATCTTCACGGACCATCAGGCACTTCTCACCCTGTGGCACCGTGAGTTCATTGCGGATGACCCCCGTGGCCGGCGGCAGGCGAGATGGCAAGAGGATAGTCGTGACCGTGATGTATATCTTTTGCATGTGCGGGGTAAGGACAATGGCACAGCGGATATGCTGAGCCGACTTGCGACTAAGGTAGACCCCTGGATGGATCCGGTTGGGGCGCAAACGGCTACCCCTAGGAGGCGAGTCATGTGGCGATACCCAGTTGCTCGCCAAGGTCCTCCCCATAGTAATGAGTACATGGCTAAAAGGAAGTATTTCAAGGTAGCCGATAAGTCTTGGGGCCCACACATCCATGATGGGTTTGCACTTCCAGGCAACAACCACTTGCCTAACTACTTTTCCCCATCTTTGGAGGGCGGCGCGTTCTCCAAGTTATGGACATTCCTCAACCTGTGGGTGAATTGCCCGTGGGCCGCTATACCGCGGGTTCTCGCAAAGGTTATTGCGGATGAGGCGGACATTACATTAATGTGTCCGTATCTTCCTGATGCCCCATGGTTTCAGCCTATGTTGGCTTCGCTGTCGCGGGAACCCATCATCATTCCCCCGGAGAAAGGTGTCTTTTACTGATATGGGCATGAAGAGATGCCCCAACCTCGTTGGGGTCCTACGTTGTTGTACAGACTGTCGGCCAAGGGTGCCAAGTTCCAGGTTACTAAGCATTTTTGGCGTCAGTGTGACGCGTTTGTTCCTGGAGGTGTGGCTGGTGGCGCTGCCCGATCGGTTCTCAGGACTAGTCCGCGAACGATGGCCCCTCAGCCCACTCCCGTGGAGCTGTCTTTGCTTGAGCGCAAGGCTGCGCAGGCAACGGAACCTAAGCGCAAGATGTCTGATAGGCGTGTGCGCAGGGCTAGTGCCCGACATGACCAAGTCCAAGCAGCGGTGCAGCGAGTCTTACCCAAGTCTAAGGGCGAGGTTGAGTCGGCAGTCAAGCGTGCCATAGATGGCCCTTCCCCGTACCGAATTCGGGGCTTTGTTTTATCTTGACCGGAAGTGCACAATGTAATTGTGGCTACCCACAAGGTGGTTATACATGCGGGAACTGACAAGCTAGTGGGCAAGCTGTATACTCTCTATGGGTGGAATGGCCTGCGATCGTTGGTCCGGGTTGATCAAACGATCGTGTCACCGTTGCCAGTTGCGGGCTCGGCATGGTACGCAGGAGTTGGGCCTACTACAACAGCCCAAGCGTGCGCGTGGGTTGTTTGACCATGTGTTCATGGATTTTGCAGCTCTGCCTAAGACCTCTGCGGGTTATACCCATCTGCTGGTGGAGGTGGACAGAGCTACTTCGATGGTGTTAGTCAAACCATCTCGCACTAAGAGTGCCCGTAAGGCTATTAAGTTCCTTAATGAAGTTGTTCATCCTTCGGGTCAACCCAAGTTATACACATGTGACAAGGATTCTGTCTTTATGGCCAAGGAGTTTACCGGGTTTGTACAACAATCTAGTGGGGAAGTGCATGACGTCACAACTGACCATCACCAAGCCAATGGTGCCCCTGAGGCTATGGTGAAGGTTGCTCAAGACTGGATCCTCAGGTGATTGGGCCCCTTGGTGTTATCGGTTTCGCAACTGTTACAATGCTGCGACTACCGCGACTCGGGGGTTCGCCCCATACACAATGGCTACCAACCGTGTGTATGATGGGGAGCGTGAGTTCAAGCTGGAAGCCGACGTACGTCGCCCATTGGCCACTGAGGACCCAGCCCGTGCATTAGCGCGGGATGATACCGCATTCCAGCGCACCTAGCGTGCTAAGGAAGCACAAAGGGCGAGGGCGAATAAGATTCGCAAGCGAGCCCCAGAACTTGCGCCCGGTTCTCTTGTCAAGTTCAAGTCTTCTCCGGATCGTCCGAAGTCGGCGGATAAATGGAAGGGTCCTGCCACTGTCCGTTCGCACAATGACCCTGTTACGTACACTATCTCGTTCCGGGGCAAGGAGGTGAGTCGTCACCGAACCCAGCTCCATCCGTATATGTCTTCCATCTCCCCTGTCATTGGAAAGGAAGTTGACTTGGTATTCACGGGTGACTACGAACAGTGGCTCTTCATGCGGTCCCCCTTTTCGAAGGCACTGATCGAAGAGCGCCGAGCGGTCTTGCACCACCTTAGGCACACCGAAAAGGGCCAGGCTTGGAAGGGTCTTGTTATTTCGGCCTTTGGACTACTGCAGAAGGAATATACCCGTAAGGATAAGCGGGTCAAATACAACCTGTCTCCTGCAGTGCGCAAATTCCTTCCGCAGGAGTGGAAGAAGCTCTTTCCAGGCACTTTTCAGTCACGCATGTCCCTGGTCGGGTCGGCGTTGGCGTTTGCTCAGGTCCCCTCATTCCGTGCTGAGGAGGTTAAGGAATGGACGGCTGCAGCAAACAATAGGGCGCACACACAGGTGTTGGGTGCGGCTTCTGCCGGTCGACCGCTGCAACTTCGACGTGTGAAGATGTTATCCGGTTTGCCGAAAGCTTGGACGTTATCGCCATCGGGATAGTGGTGTGCGCGTGGCAAGCTGTGTGAGAGAAAGTAAGGTCTAGCTTGACCGTGGCCTACGGACACGCTCAAGAGGGCGTGTGATCGGCCTAGAGACTTTAGGTACCGTCTAGACTGGCCTAGGGACCCTCTAGGAAGCGTAGTACCGAACTTTAGAGTAGAAAAATAATGGCACATGGAAATCATCAAATTCTGTGAACCCTAAATATTACACTGACACATTATCATTATATATATCTGGGCCCAGAATTCTATTATATTCTTTCACCAACTCATATTAATACTACTATTAAAAGATTTGTCTCTATACTAGCATTGAATTTCTGATCTCACAATAATAGTCTAAAGTTGGTGACCTAGTTAAGGCAGCATGGTTCAGAGTTTTCAGCGTCACTTGTTACATGGGAACAAGAGCGATGATTTCTTCTTGTGGTTGGCGACGATCAACCGATGGCCTCTCCGGCATTCACGAGCCTTGGTGATGACCAAAGTGAGGCTAAGGAGCAAATGCTGAGCCTCTATTTCGGCCAGCAGTTGTACAGCAAAATCCAGCTGAACATGCTTCTTGGCATGCAAGGCAACCACATGTGGTTAGTGGCGATGGCCACACTGTATGCGGGCGAATGGCGCCATTTGCGCAAAGACACGTCGCATTGAGCAGTCGCAGCGTTTGCACGCGCACTGAGGAAGGATCCACAGGTGACGGTGCATGCCCTACAGGAACTGCTCATTTATATGGCGAGCAGATCCTTGCTCAAAGTTTTCGTCGACGAATCTCGTGATGCACAGACTTCGGCGGAGACTGCGGTCTTTTCGGCCAACGCTTAGAGCTTCGTTGGTTTCCCAAAACGAAAGCTTCTTGGGGGACAGTACAACCCCTCTTTCGCGTAGTCAGTTAGAGCAGCACAATCTGGGTGGAACTAACAATGTGGTCCACCAGCGTGCAGCAAGAGTTTCTGGCGGATCAGCGCAATGCGGCGCTGCATACGCCATCTGACAATGGGCGAGCGATGGGCTCGGATACGTCCGCACTCCCAGACCCGGCTACGTTATCTCGACCTGTAAATCGGCAAGATCCGCAGGCTACTCAACCGGACTCAGGGGCAGCAGGGGTAACTACAGGCAGTGGTGATGTACCACTAACTGAGGCAGAGAAGGCGCAATTGGCTCAGGCCCAAGGAGAGGATGCCATGAGGCAACGAATCAGGCAGGAGGCGCGTATTCTGATGGCGGAAGAAGCTGCTCGGTTTCGAACGGAGCGTCTCGCGGCAGAAAGCGCGTCTGGCTCGTCAACGAAGGGATCAGCCACGGCGAGCTCAACCTCAGGATCAGCGCGATCTTTGAATGGGGTGCCCCTGGCTTCTAGGGCGTCACGGGCGATTGACCTAGCGGCTTCGGGCGATTAACCTAGCGGTTTTGCGCTTACCAGTTGGGATGTCGGAAGAGGTTTTCTGTTTCTGTATTGTTCTTCGCAACGGCAGCAACAAGGCATATGCCGTACTTGTGATGGTGAACTACAACATAAGTAAGTTTTTGCATGCGCAGGCTATTTCTGAGCCTGCGCTATTAGAGAAAGTCGCGCGTGAAGTGAATGAGCAAATAGTGGTGGTTGAGTTATTATTTACGCTCATTTTTCGTAGAACGCAGCACGTTCTTTCTGTTGCTGGTTTTGCTGAGCAAGGCCCGCCGCGCTTGCTCAGTTGGCTCTAGTAGTCCATCCTTGTTTGATTTTATCAAGATTGAAGACGGGGTTAGTACCAAGGTTAAGGCGCGGGTCAATAACCAGCAGCCAAAGCGCCCGCAGAATGGTGGCGGCCAACAAGCGAGTGGTGGTGGTGGCCACAACGGTGGGAAGAACGCCAAAGGAGGAGGTGGTCAGCAGGAAGTGTGGCAGGCGCAAATTAACTACTTAATCTCTAAGTCGCGCCAGGATAGGAAGAAGAATGGAAGCGAGGATCGTGATAGAGGTCGACGATCAACCTCCCACTCTTGATCTCCGAGAGAGCAGAATCCGGAGCGATATCACAAGAAAGACAGTGATGGGCGTTATTCCAAGCCATGGAAATCGCGTGGCAGACAGTCGGAGTCAGAGGACGGCGACTCGCGTCAAGGGCGCTCACACTCGGAGATCATTCGCGTTCGCGTAGTCGTGAGCGTGGGCGTGGAAAGAACAGGGGAGGGTCGTAGTAGAGACAAGGCTTATTCCGAATCGTCAGAGTCGGAAGGTGACCTGTATTGAACCACACGGCTGAGTACAGCCCACGTTATGGAGGGTCAGCAGGGGCGGCAACACAGAAGAAGCCACGTTGAAGAGAAATGGCGCGGTGGTCCCTGGATAGTTGGCGCTGTACACACGTGGGCGTATGCAGATTCAGGTTGTACGTTCAACCTTGTATCGATTCGCATGATCCAAAAGATTGGTGTGACAGCGCGGGACAGGCATGAAGGGCCACCATTAGAAGGAATAGATGGCATGGGGGCTTTGGCCCCAGAGTTATCAGTGCCATGGGATGACCTGGAGGCCTATTTGGTCATCCTTGGGGTCTCTTATGCATTAGCAGAAGGTCACCCCTTCTATGTCGTGGAAGACATACCCATGGGTTGTGACATACTCATTGGGTATGATCAGATGCGGCATTCGAAATAGGCGTTGATGTGGCGTGAGGACGAGCTGATTGTAGTACCTCAGTCCGCTATTAAGTGGTCGTGGCTCAAGGGTACCAATGTTCCTTTGAGTCCACAAGTCAAGTTGTTGCTTGATTTCCGACAGCCGAAGCCGCGAACGCGGGGTAAGAAGGCAATGAAAAAGCGGCATAAGCCGCGTCGATCATCAGAAAATGTAGCTGGTGGGGCCAGTGAGTATATTCGTGGCAGGACTGATGATATTCGTCGCACTGCAGACACCCCCTGGCAGCCTAGTGTTGCAAGTTCGGCGTCTGACGTTTCGTCTGGGGATGACAAATGTCCAAACATCATGTAGGACTCGGATGTTTCGGGTGAAGAGAACATAGTGTGGCCCACTATGGGTCACCGGCCTCCCAAGCCATCGTTCTTGAGACGTTCACCCCCAGTGGTGAGGCAGGATGTGAGTGATGACAGCAGTGAGCAATCCTGCTGGAGTTTGTTATCCGATTCATCGGATGATGCTGATTCTGATCATAACACTGAATCGGTGAGCCGGCCTAGGGCGCATAACAAGCGACACTATCTGGCCAGAAGATTGACGACGGCAGCTCGGGATGACCATGCTTCGCATGAGTCATTCGCGATGTCTACGCAGGTGGCGAATGGTGGACCTAAGTCCACCATGGCAAAACGCAGCTGTGGGCCGTGCCAGGAGGTTTCTCCTATTCTTGGGCCGACTCGAGGGCTGCTCCGGTAGCCGGAGCGTCCGGATTCAGTTATGGCTGAGATTAGTATGGATTTTGTTCAGTTCCCAACAACGAATGCGGGGCTTATGAAGTACGCCCTTTTGGCGGTAGATACGCTTACGCGTATGGTGTTTGTTCGGGGCTTCCCGCCTAGCGTTGCTGTTGGGGATGCTGTGCGCTTCTTGGAGGAGCAAGTTTTGGCGCTGGGAGTGCCTCAGAAGATTACGATGGACGCTGACTCCGTGTTCAACACTAATGCTATGGTTAACTTTTGTGAGGCCAGGCAGATTGTGCCGCATTTTGTGTCGTTTGACCGTCAGCAAGGTAATGGGAGAGCGGAGGTTCTCATCCGTACGCTGAAGGACTGGCTCAAGCGTGAGGTGGCGGCTGCTGATACGGAAGTAGGGTCATGGGTGCACTCAGTTTATTATGTGGTCCGGACTTACAATGCGACGATGAACTCGGTTACTGGGTTTTCCCCGTACTTTCACATGACGGGGCATACATTTCTGCATGCTCAGCGGGATCAGCTGCAAGAGAGGGTTCTGGAAATGCTGTTACCAGAGCATGGTACGGAGGCTGTGGTGCGTGATGCGGTTGCAGTGCAGCGTGATCGGCGTGCGCAGGAGTCTCAGCGTAGGGCGGCTGACTTGCATCGTGTGGATGTGCCAGCGTTCGCTGTAGGTGATTGGGCGTTGGCTGCACGGTATGATGGCCCAGCCAAGATTGTTGCTGTCCTGCCAACTTGAAGTATGATGTGGAAGTTGCGTCGGGAGTTGTGCGTTCGTATATGATCGATGAGCTTAAGTTGCATGTTCAAGGGATTGATATGCCGCCTCCGGAAAGGCAGAAGGTGGTCAGCTATCGGCCGCGTGGATGGTATGGGTCGTGGTTGTTGCAACGATCTCCGATGCGGGAGACGTCTTATGAGTATCGACAGGAGTTAGGTCAGCGATTGAGGCGTACAGAGATGGCCAATCGGTGGGCAGATGCGATGAGTTCTGTGTGGGGCAGGTGGGAAGGCTTTTGTGATAAGGCGAAGCAGCCTGTTGACTTGCCGTTTGCATCTGCTCCGTTCAGCCAGGTTCAGTTGCATAAAGATAATGAGGCGATTCTCATTGATAAGTTTCCTGTCGATCAGCCGCGAAGGTTATATCGGTCGCGAGTGATTACTTGCTTAAGGTTTTCGAGGGACGCGACGTTCCGCAACTACATGTTGCGCAGGTGGGGTATGCTTCCATTGACGTCGGAAGGTGTTGAGATCCCCAGGCGGTAGTGGTTTGAGAGGGCGGCGTAGTTCAGTAGGTCAGCATGAGTAGTAGCGTGTAGGCGGGAACTTCACTTGGCAGAGGTCAGAGGGAGAGTACGGCACCGCGTCTCTGTGGGTATACATCGGACTGGCACACCCTATGACATGACAGAGATGTGGTCATAGTGGGGGGTTGTAATATGGGTGTGGTCCACAGATAGTAGTGAGCTTGAAGCTCGTGTGCAGGACTGAATTGTGTCTGATGCATGCTTGATGGTTCGGGTGCATGAGGGGTGATTTTTTAAGAGTAATAGAGACTTGGAGAAATGTTGTGTGTCTTATGATATTGGTTTATGCCTACAACTATTTTGGTAAGCGTAGACCAATAGAAGAAGAGCATAAAACATTTAATAGTGTAGTGTAATAGCATGATGGAATACATGGCGAGAAAGGAGATGTTGTGTCAGTGACCAGAGGGTCTGACGGCAGGCAATGTCTAGCTTTAGGTATATATGTCAAGGTTGTGGGATGATCAGTACTCACAACCTTGTAAGTTATTACACTACTTTGATCCTAAACGTTGTTTCACTCTAAACCGTTCGTGAACTAAATTTGTTACTCACATTATATATATATATATATATATATTAATCACACACCACACGCTACACAGATGTTGTAGTAGTTAACGACTAGATGCGCTATGCAATCACTATTGATATATATCCAACCACAAGAAGAAATCATCGCTATTGAA